ACTTTGGCAGGTTAATTTTCTGTAGAGTAAAGCTGGTTTTATGCTGCTTTTACACTGTCACATGTAAGGCTGTGGCAGCCCATTCTACGTGTCATGAGGCTCAGTGTAGGAGGAAACAGATGGCATGTTGTGAAGCAGCTGGATAGTTTATACACTGAAAACATAACAGTTTCTTTGCTGAAACCACTGTGAATTCTCCAGGGGATAAGAGGGAAGGTCCTCTCATGGATCACTAACTGGTTAAAAGATAGGAAACAAAGGGTAGGAATAAATGGTCAGTTTTCACAATAGAGAAATGTAACTAGTGGGGTCCCCCAAGGATCTGTACTGGCATCTTTGCTGGTCAACATATTTATAAATGCTCTGGAAAAGGGGGTGAACAGAGGGGCAAAATTTGTAGATGATACAAAATTACTCAAGATAGTTAAGTCCAAAGCAGACTGTGAAGAGCTACAAAGGGATCTCACAAAACTGGGTGACTGGGCGACAGAATGGCAGATGACATTCAGTGCTGATAAATGCAAAGTAATGCACATTGGAAAACATAATCCCAACTATACATATAAAATGTTGGGGTCTAAAATTAGCTGTTACCACTCAAGAAAGAGATCTTGGAGTCCTTGTTGATAGTTCTCTGAAAACATCCACTCAATATGCAGCAGCAGTCAAAAAAGCGAACAAAATGTTAGGAACCACTAGGAAAGGGGTAGATGAGAAGACGGAAAATATCATAATTCCTCTATATAAATCCATGCTACCACACCTTGAATACTGTGTGCAGTTCTGGTCACCCCATCTCAAAAAAGATATATTGGAATTGGAAAAGATACAAGGAAAGGCAACAAAAATTATTAGCATCTTCCATATGAGGAGAGATTAAAGAGATGGAAAAGAGGTGACTAAGAGTGGATATGATAGAGGTCTATACAATTGTGACTGGTGTGGAGAAAGTGAAGAAGGCAGTGTTATTTACTCCTTCTAGGGAGACCAGATGTCCCGATTTTATAGGGACAGTCACGATATTCAGGGCTTTTTCTGATATAGGCGCCTATTACCCCCCACACTCTGGCCCAGTTTTTTACACTTGCTCTCTGGTCACCCTAACTCCTTCATATAAGACAAGAACCAGGCATCACCCAATTAAATTAATAGGCAGCAGGTTTAAAACAAACAAAAGGAAGTATTTCTTCACACAATACATAGTCAATCTGTGGAACTCCTTGCCAGGGGATGTTGTGAAGGGTTCAAAGAAGAACTAGATAAGTTTATGGAGGTTAGCTGAGCTATTAGCCGAGATGGTAAGGGATGCAACCCCATGCTCTAGGTGTCCCTAGCCTCTGATTGCCAGAAGCTCGGAGTGGATGACAGGGGACAGATCACTCAATGATTGCCCTGTTCTGTTCAGTCCCTCTGAAGCGCTTGGCATTAGCCACTATTGGAAGACAAGATACTGAGCTAGATGGCCCATTCGTCTGACCTGGTATGGCCATTCTTATGTTTATTCTGAAGAGTGCATTCAGTTCTCCTGTATTATTAGTGTGCTGATCACGCCCAGAGGCCGCCTATCTAAGACACAAGGAGGACTCTCACCGTTAAAAATGTACACCTTATTTCTAGTCTGAATTTGTCTAGCTTCAACTTCCAGCCAATGGATTGTGTTAGACCTTCCTCGGCTGGATTGAAGAGCCCATTATTAAATATTTGTTCCCCATGTAGATAGTTAGAGACTTATCAAGTCACTCCTTAACCTTCTCTTTGTTAAGCTAAATACATTGAGCTCCTTAAGTCTATCACTCTAAGGCAGGTTTTCTAACCTTTTACTCATTCTCATGACTCTTCTCTAAACCCTCTCCAATTTTTCAACCTGCATCAGAAATTGTGGGCCCCAGAACTGGACACAGGATCCCCGCAGCCGTTGCACCAGTGCCAAATCCAGAGGTAAAATAACCTCTCTACTCCTACTTGAGATTCCCCTGTTTATGCATCCCAGGAGCTCATTTGCTCTTTTGGCTACAGCGTCACACTGGGCACTCATGTTCAGCTGATTATCCAACACCTTCTCCAGTGAACGGGGGAGGAGTAAGTTGGAGCTGCTTGGGAGAGTTGTGATTGTGATGTGAGGAGAGTGTGTCTGAACCCTTCTACACCCACCCCCCCCATGTGTGTGATGAAAGGAAAGGGGCCCGTGGACTGCGAGGGTCCAGTCTGCAGCATGTCTGTACAGGACTGTGCAGCTTGTGTCAGGAGTAGGCTACTGGGGTGGGATACGAGAGCAGACTGGATTGAATGATGGGATGGGGAAAGTCCAGGTTTAGGGGTAGCCTGTGTGCAGGTGTGAAGGGGCTGTAGAAGGGTACACAATGGTTGTTATATTTGACAGCAGGGGCGGCTCCAGCCACCAGCACACCAAGCGCGTGCCTGGGGTGGCAAGCCGTGGGGGGGCGGTGTGCCGGTCGCCATGAGGGCGGCAGTCAGGCTGCCTTCGGCGGCATGCCTGCGGGAGGTCCGCTGGTCCCGCAGTTTCGGCGGCAATTCGGCGGCGGGTACGCCAAAGGCATGGGACTGGCAGACCTCCCGCAGGCATGCCGCCAAATCCGCGTTACCAGTGGGCCTCCTGCAGGCATGCCGCCGAAAGCCGCCTGACTGCCGTGCTTGGGGCGGCAAAATACATAGAGCCGCCCCTGTTTGACAGGTGTGGTGTTCTGTGGGGGGAACGGTGTTTGAACACAGGGTAGGTACAGGTAGTGCCTGGCCATTACTGTGACAAGGCAGAGTGGGAGTGAGTGTGTCATGGGTGTGTCGGGGCATCACTCAAAGAGGGCAGAGTTAAGGCTGTGCGGGCGTTTACCTTATCTCTGTATTTCCTGGTTTTCAGAGGTTTGAGTTTTGCTGAGCCTGGCACAAGGTATCACTCGGCAGCCTGAACTCTGCATTAGTGAAGGGTTTTTCCTATTTAGTTTCCTAGTTGTTTAAACAGAAACGTGTTTGTTGGTAGGAGCTACTGGTCATTTAGGCCGTTGTATTCTCACCTCGTTGTTAAGTTAATATGCTACTGTGCCTAGGTAATAATTAAAAGCCCTAGCTCTGATCTAGTGCTTTTCATCAATAGATCTCAGAGAACTTTAGAGCATTACCCCCATTTTACAGAAGGGAAACTGAGGCACAGAGAGTCAACTTGCCCAAGGTCACCCAGCCAGTGGCAGAGTTAGCAATAGTTCCAGTCCAGTGATCTCTCCACCTGGATACACGGTTGCCCTGTTATTCCTCAGTGCTCCCTCCCCTCCTGTATGGTTTGTTATAGTGGAATGGTCTGGCTTTGAAAGGTTTGCAGTGTGTAGCTGCTAACAGGGCCCTAGAGAAATCCCATCCATGCTCTATGTCCCAAACCTTGACAGCTTTATGGCAGGCTTGTTACAGTAACTGACCTGTCAGCAGGTGAGAGCAGGCTGGTGTGTCTCCTTCTCCACCCCCTGCCCACCCCTCACCTCCAACACTTATTCCTCCCCATCCCCTTCACCGCCCAATAAGACATGAGCTGGTCCTGCAAAAACCAGGGACATGTCTGAAGTTACTCCTTGCTGACTCCTGCCCTGCACTGCTGTGCACACGTCACAGACTATTACTGGAGGGCCTCATGCTACCTGGTTCTGTAGCCCAAGCTGCACACTGAGCTGGACCCCTCACTCCCATTACCACCCCTCCACACACACACACAGCTGGGACTCCTGCCCCTGCTTCAGCCAGGCTTCCCCAGCCATGCCCCTAGCCCTCCCACCCTTCCCCCTTCACCCCACACAGGGGAAACATGTATCTTAACTATTAATTTTCTGGATTTCAGATGTTTAAATTTGTTGCCTTCATTCCCTGCACCCCAGATCCCAGCTCACATAGAGGTGCAGGGAGACGGACTCAGACATCCCAGGGGAAGCAGGGTCCCCCAGACTTCAGAGCATATAACAAGTAGGGGGCTCAGTCCCCTTGCAGAGGCGTAGGGCTCCCCCACTCCCATCACACACAAGGAAGGGGAGAATTCAAGGCTGAAAGCCCCACCCCTAAACCCCCAACTTCCTCTGCTACACCTCATATTCCCCAACCTCTCCTGTCTTCTCCTCTCCCACTCCCCCAATACCTCCCAGCTTATCTGAGCCTCCCAAACCCTCATGCTTCCCACCACCCATTCATCGCTCCCCATAATACCCCCATCCCTCACTCTTCCCCCTATTACCACCTACTCTTCCATCCCTGGATACCCCTCCTTTCCCAGTGAGGACTTGCATGCATACTTTCTTTTCAAAAAATAGTTTCATCACCTTCTGAATATTCTGCTGTGCTTCGATTCCATTTCCCCAAATCAGAAATTCTCGATGACAGAGCAATATGCCTCCCTTTTTAATTCCAGATTTCTGCTCTGGGTTGTGTTTGAATTGCCGGTGCCTGGGGCGGTGCTCAGATTCAATGACCAAAACACACCCTCAGAGCCACCCAGGTCCTGTGATGTAGTGGTAGTACCGGTTTTCCAGATGGGTAGCCTCTCTCTCTGCACGTGCTCAGTGTAATACAGTAGGAGCTAGAATGAGCACTTGAGGCTTGTGAAAATTTTAACTAGACAAGCAAAATCTTTTTGAAATGACACTGTAATTTGATTTCCCCCAAAGGGCCATTGGGTGCCATACACTCTGTCTTTGAGCATTTGTGCGATGAGTTGACCCTTGGTTTGATCTCTATCTTGAGCAAAAAAAAGATTGCCTGAATCTCTCAACTTTAAGAAAAGCTGGGAGTTTTTTCAGGGGCTGCGTCTTGGGAACCCCTTGGTCAACTGTCCCCAAATTTGGGCCACTGACCAAACCCCATGTACCCACGCGGTGTACCAAATTTCAAGGGAATTGGAGTAACCATGTACATTTTAGGGCAAATTTTAAATTGATGGCTGGATGAGCCCTCGGGGACATGGTTTGTGCATTCTGGAGGGTCTAGGTCAGTAACGTGTGTCCCTCTCCTAGGTACGCCATCGGCATCGCCTATAAATCAGCCCCAAAGAATGAGTGGATTGGCAAGAACTCCTCATCCTGGGTCTTCTCCCGCTGCAACAGCAACTTTGTGGTGAGACACAACAACAAGGAGATGCTGGTGGACGTTCACCCACAGATGAAGCGCCTGGGCATCCTCCTGGATTATGACAACAACATCCTGTCCTTCTACGACCCGGCCAGTTCTCTCCATCTCCATACATTCAACGTTTCCTTCATCCTGCCGGTGTGTCCAACGTTTACCATCTGGAACAAATCTTTGATGATCCTGTCAGGCCTGCCTGCTCCAGACTTCATCGATTACCCGGAGCAGCAGGAGTGTAACTGCCGACCGCAGGAGTCCCCATACGTATCAGGGATGAAAGCCTGCCACTAAGCAGCAGCCAACCCCTGTCATGCTCCACAGTGGATCACAGGAAATGTTTGTGGGGGCTTCTGAAAGCTGGGTTGGAAAGCAGGCCCTGCCGCCAGAGAAATAACACTCGGCGAGTGAGCACCTCCCACAGGAATCTCATTTTTAAGGGAAAAACAAAACTTTAAAAGCGATTGAAATAAACTCTGTGGCTGAGCTCTGTGAGTGTGGGAATACGGCTTGTGAAACTCCTTTGTAGCAGGATGGCGTTCCTACAGCTGGACTGTCACATGGCTTGTTTGGGGGTGAGCGGAGGGTGATGTGGGCAGTGCTTGTTCCAGGGCCCCCTAGGAGTGTGGGCAAGGGAGGGGATCCTGGGCAGAGCAGGGTGTGGCCTGGTAGGGGCCAGCTTGAGCACCAACCGGCTCCATTGACCATCGCCATTCAGATGGAGGGCTGCAATCGGCCGCATCTCAGGAAGGATCCGTCACATAAACAGCGTGGCTTTCAATGTCACCCAGACAGGCGGCCGCAGCCAACCATCCAGAGCCATTCAACTGTATGCAGATTGTGAAAGTGGAACCCGCTCTAAGAGAGCCATCCAGCTGCTTCACCTGCGGGGTGTGGCTGGTGTGTTTAGTTGACAGGGGCACACGCTTCCTCCCGCTCGGGGGGACGCTCAGACCTGAAATCTGGCTCCCCCCAGTGCTCCCTCTTCTTCCGTTATAACTGCCTCCTTTGGGAGGCCCTTTGTCATTATACATCAGGGAGGCCCCAGCCAAGCCCACCTCTGGTTGATATCTGATCTGTGAAATGGAGCAAGCTGAGGCGTCTGTCCCCTCCAGTGCCCATCTGGGGCCTGTGGAGAGCACAGGCCCCATCATGCAATGCTGCTTCTTGAGGCTGGGCTAGGTCATGCTCCATGGTAGAGATGCGTCTGGCCAAAGGATGCACTGGTTTAATGTAGGCCATCCCCCTGGAAAGAGTGTGTGTTGGGAGTGGGGAAAGGGCCCAGTATTACCTGGTGTTGCTGCTGCTGCCGCCAGGCAGGGGGAGTGGAAGCTGGCCAAACAGCACCATCTCCAGAGAAGCAGGAGAGAGCCAGTGGGCCGTGGGATGTATAACTACTGTAGCGTACAAGGACTGTATCCATTATTTATGCCTCTGCACACAGCCCTGGTCAGAATTCACTTTCTCCTCTGTACGTTGTGTTGGTGTGAGGGTTGACTGGGGGCTACAAGGGAGTAAATCTGGAAGACCAAATATGAGCGCTGATAGCAAGCAAGGCAGCCTGGCCGGGCAAAGTCCGTCTAGCTCGTTCTCTGTCCCATGCTGGCTGGTTCTTGGGGTCGCCTCTGGAGTCAATGCAGAGCCGTTCCTTTCACTCTGAAGTTAACCTATGGGGCGGAGATCAGAATCCAGTCCCCGGGCCTTTATGTTTGGGTAACTTTGCCCCCTCTCATGCAGAGACTTGCCCAAGGTTTTTGTTTCCCATGAATCCCAGCTGGTCTGACCCTCCCTGGAAGGCACCTTGCGTCATCACTTACGCTGGGACCGAGCAAGGGCAAGTTCTGCTAATCCTCAGCTCTTCCCTTCCTGATGCTGGGGGAGCGTGTTGCGTAGATAGCTGTGAATGACAACAGGAGCTGGGCATGGGAGGATGGGCCTGCATGTGTCAGAGGAACCGCAGGTCATGGGGAGACAGTGCCCAAAGCACACAGAAAGCTGCCTCGTGGGGCCTTTGATCTGAATTGGGAGAGGGATAGGCAATGTCTTAACTTTCATAGGTGCAAAGGGAATGCCGTCACCAGCAAGTGCGACTTACGATGTCTCGGTTCCAGCTGCTTCTGCAGCTGTGGGAAGGTCTAGCCTGGGTTTGCAGCCTTCCACACCAGAGCCGGTCCTGCTGCAGACCCTCATTCCATGCTGTGGACATGGCTGTCTGAATATCAGTCTACTGGCTTTTAAAGTCTGGTTCTTTCACACACAGCTGGTGCTGTTCTGCCAGGGACCCAGCATCCAAACAGCTTTTAGAACTGGCGCTAACAAAACCTCCGTACCTTGGGAAGTCTCTCCTTTGGAACGAGGTTTGGCTCTTTTGTCCAGCCAAGCACCAGGCTGGCAGTATTTGCTAGTGCCGGTCCAGGGGCCAGGTTCAGTGTGTTCTTTGGAATGTCCCTTCTGTTAGTCTCTCCTTAGTTTTGTTGCATGGGGCCATGTGATCCAGGACAGGAGAAGTTGCCCGACTGCCCTTGTGTGGCTTAAAACTCTGCTTAACTTTTCCTTGTTTCAAACAGGAAGAGACCTCTGGACCTTGCTGATCAGAAATCTACCTCATAGCCCAACCTCCGGGGAGCAGGTGGATTGATTGATCCAGGGGTAGTCTTAGTGTGTGTGCTACTTAGTGTTAGGATGGAGTGGGCAGAGCATGGCTCACCTGGCTGGAGGGAGATTCCTGCCTAGTTTCAGGAGTGGAGGCTGGTTTGGCTCAGATGGAGTGAAGTGTAATGTGTGCACTGGACCGTTGGCTGCTGTAAAGTCCTGCTGCTAGGCTTTGAGGACGCGGGTTGGAGCCAGGCAGCCTGTGAACCAAACCCAGTATTGCCCCTTGTGACTCATCTGGGTTCACTTAATGCCTCCTTCCCTCCTGCCGGCCCTCACCTATCCGAGGTGCCCCGACTCGAACTGATGTGCTCCCATCTTTCGGTTCTCTCTGGCAGCTTTCTTGCCTGATACAGGCCCCTCTGAAGCTCATTAAGCAGCCTCCCCAGCTCATGGACAGTCTACCGAATGCCATTGTTCTTTGGGGTGAGTCAGGATGGGGTGTGCATGTGGCCCCTGAAGCTATGTCAGATGAGATCTATGGCTGGCTGATCATAAAAGGTTACCATGCCAGCTGATGTGCTGCAGAGCCTTGAATGAGCTGTGCTGATGGATACTTTTTATTAACACTAAATTGCCATCAGGATCAGCAGAAGATTGATACCTTCTTGCAGGCACAGGGTGTATAAAAATGAACCTGACTTTTCTCCCCTTTCGGTATTCAACATTTATGATGACTGGCTGCCTAATGAAAGGGTGTGTGGGGTGGGGGGTAATATGGAAAAATTATATGCCACCTTGTGCTAGGTTGGGAATCAGAAAGGTCTTTTCGTTCCCTGTCTCTGGTCTAGGCAGCTTTCCCTGCCACAGAAGGCCCTGTGCTGTTTGCCCATAAATTGCAGTGTGTGATGCATCAGTTCAGAGCTGAGGGAAGGTTTCTATTTGCTCCTGCTGGCCCGAGCTGCTGATGGTGGTGTGTGGGGATTCACATCACCATTCCTGCCTTGCCCTGCAGCTAATCCCAGAATCATTTTAAGCAGATAAATTGCCATTTTCAGGTTGATTTTTTCAAAGGCACATAATGCTACCCCCTTTGTGCTGACCCAGAGTGTTCCCAACGGGGGGACTGCTTGTGACGGAAGCTGTCTCAAACAGACGCCTGCACACTGTAGATGGATTTTAACATTTGAAAAATAGGGGCCAAGCTTTTCAGCTGGCCCTGTCGCTGTTTAGACGGGATCGTTGTTGGAGACTCTGCCACATCCTTTAACTCGGAGCACAAGAGCCATTCATGTGACATTGCACCTGAGGAAATGGCACTAATTACATTGGGGTTCTGAAGAACTGTACCAGTGACGGGCAGGAGGGCACTGCAGAGAGCTTGTCTGGGAGAATGGAAATGGGGAGGCCAGCTCAATAAGCTGACTGACCTGGGGTTCATCGCTTGCATTCCTCTCTGCTGGTTGTTAAAAGCAAAACCCAACCATGTCTGTCAGTGTGGACAGTTGCTGTCCTGTGCTAAGTCCAGGAGCAAAGCCTGGCTCCTTCACTGCGGAACTCAGGCAAGTCAGGCCCCTGCACTAGAGAGCTGTCCTCTGCAGATGGAAATGGATCCTCAAAGCTCCCCTGTTGCATCATGGCCTTTGCCTCCCACCCATTAGCGAGCAATCCCATTGGTGAAAATGCCCGGTGTCATATGACGCTGCGATAGTTCCAGCCAATCTGAGCCTATCCAGCCTCTGCTGCCCATGGTTGGAATTAACATAGAAATGCTTTCTTCCTTTTTCTGTCATCCTGTTGGAAGCAGGTAGCAGGATCGGAGGGGGCCGGTTCAAGTCATTGCAGGAAGTTCATTTGTCATCTGTATTTCTGCCTCATGCAGAGTTCTGCGGCTGCTGGATGTTTTTATCATAGTAAATCCATTGTATCTGATTTGGGATGTGGTGAAAATCTGGTTACAGTGAAACCTCTCATACTTTCTCTTCATATGTAACATAACTGGGGTTTGGGGTTTTTTTTTTTTGTGTGGCAATTTCTTTGTTAATGTGTATATATATAAATATAATATAATATATATATATACATACTTGCCGTGTTTGTGTATTGAGGAGCTGCTACCACATCTGACATCGCACTCATTCTGGTAATCTCATCTTTGGACATTATATCAACCTTAGAGGTTATATTATATCATTATAATATCATTATATCAACCCCTCACTTGAGCTGAAGATACAGAAGTCAGTCATGTTAAAACCAAAGGCCACAGCTCCCAGAGCAGGGTTCCACTCCTCATCAGTTTCACATGCAATCTTTTCAAATCACCTTTTCTCTGTCAACTGGGCTCTCTTTTCTCTACTCAAAATCAGCTGGAACTCTGAAGCCACATCGCAGGCTGTTTCATGTCGGGGGGGGGGGGGGGGGGAGAATGCTGTTATGCTGATATGTGAACTAGCAACCAAGATGCCTTAACTAATCCAAAGCCCCAGTAGCCACATCACAAAGTGAGGTAGCCCTGTTTAGACACTTTAGTGAGTGAGACGAAATCACGGCAGTAAATTAGATAATCACAGCGGAGACAATCACAAGAGTTTGTGTGGGGCAAACGTAAAGCTGAGATTCCAGTGCGGGACTCTGATATTGTATAACCAGGGGAGACGAGGGTCTCCTGTTATAATCCTTCACAACAATCCAGGTGCTTTTCCCAGGATCCCTTCCTAGGCGCAAGAGAGACCCCAATTGAGCTGCCCTATTAGAAAACCCCCACAACCTGGCCATGTAGGGCTGACTGGGCAGAATGGGAGTGGGGGGGGAGCTGCTCTTGCAGTAGAGCTCTGTGTTGTTTGTTAGACCTACCCAAACACCTGCTCTTGAGGGCAAATCAAACTGTGGCAAGCTGCTGGAGTTTCCAGAACTGTGAGCCCCTGTGTTACCCCCTCAGCCTCAGCAAGTGAGAGCGTTGCTGCTGCTAAGCTATGTGTCAGCTCCCTGGCACACCAGCTTGTCTGCCATGGCAGCAAACTCTTCAGGACTCTGCCCGGCCAAACCTGGTAACAATCAGTTAACCCCAGTTCCTGAGTTCCTCAGAGACGTCGCTGTGCACTGCTCAGCCTCTCTGTCTGTAGCGCTCACCAAACCTTATCAGATTTGCTGCTCCTTTAAAGAAACCATACATAGCTGCTTATTAACTTAACGTGAGCTGACAAACCCTCCACTTCAAACAGAGCACTGAGTGGGTTTATAGTAAAAGTAAAACAAGTTTATTAACAAAAGGGTGGAGGGTTAAGTGATACCAAGTTGAAAGGCTAAAGATAAAAATGGTTGCAAACAAACAAAAGTAAAACACACTTCTGTGACTAACAGCTCTAGTTCTCGTTCAAGATGGGTTCCCTACATACAGCAACTTCTCCAGCGAGACTGGCTGGGATCCACCCTGACACAATCAAAGTTCTGGTTACTTTGGTCCCTCAGGAGACAGATAACCTAGGAGTTCACTCCCCCTCTCTGTATAGCCCAGTAACCCTTGGACATGGGTAAAGTGCCTTTCTCTTCCTGCATGTGGATGCCATGCTGTCTGGTGTAGACTCCAGGCTGGTTCCTCCCTCGCTGGTGATTTTCACAGTGCAAATGTTCTCTTCCTGCAACCCGACACAAATGGCAACCCACTGAATTTGGCCACACTTGGGTTAGCCTTTTTCCTTTGCCTAAAGAAAACCTGTTTCTCAAAGCCCCTGACATTTTAGTCACATATTTCCAGCACATCTGTGAAGTTCCGTGTGGGTTAACCATACTTGCATCACACAGGAATATTAATGATCAGTGAGTTATTAGTTTTCCAGTGGTCTATTACATGCCCTCTTTTGGGTAAGTCCCATGAGAATCGTGTGTCATCTGGCATTGGGCTGCGCGCAGGGGCACAAACACCTAGCTACCCATATATAGTGGTAGGTAACAAACACTTTCAACAAACACAACAAACACTTATCCACCGGGGGGAGGGATAGCTCAGTGGTTTGAGCATTGGCCTGCTAAACCCAGGGTTGTGAGTTTAATTTTTGAGGGGGCCATTTAGGGACCTGGGGCAAGGGGGATTGGTCCTGCTTTGAGCAGGGGGTTGGACTAGATGACCTCCTGAGGTCCCTTCCAACCCTGATATTCTATGATTCTATGATCCTAAAGCAGAGGGTCTCATGCTGTGGCTGGTGCCTTGCTGGAGTGACTGTAGGGAGATGGCTGGTCATATGGGGCTGGCTCTTTCTCCCATCTGCTCAGTCACATTCAAAGAAGGTTCAATATGTGCACATATAAAATATCCCCGTGTGCCTTGTCCCTGCCAGTGATCACTGCTCTGGGGCTGGTGTAGGCTTGTGAAAGTGAAGGGGGGCTCTAGTAAACAACCTCGCCATGAGCTGTTTCATGAAAAGGGCTGAGAAAGGCTACCAATGAGCTGTGCAGAGAGCCCAAATTATGGCCCTGTGCCTCCACTGTGGCCAACAGGCTTGCATGGGTGGAACAGAGCAGAATGGGGCCACTGAGTGCACGAATGGCACCCACTGCTGCACAAGCAGGTCTGCACAGCTGGGCAGCACAGGGGTGTTCTGCACCCACTGTGTGGCACAAAAGGGGCGGCAAATAGGCAGAGTTTTAGTTATCCAAATTGGAACACGGCCAGGTAACCAGGATCTGCAGTCCCCTCCTCCCGTGGGAAGTGCCAGGGATTCAGGCTCTCCATTGTACATGCCCTCTGACAACCAGCAAAACGGTGCCCGTAATGCCCATGCTTGGGGCCTAGCTCAATACTGACCCTGCTCCCTGCAGCCCACCATGCTTAGCCCGTGTGCTGAGAGCTCCCTGCCCCAAGTGTCCTGGTCCCTGAGCTCAGCAAGCAGATTGGTGCAATGCATGCAGATGGCCCAGAAATGGGGGAACTCAGAGGTTGTCATGCTCCCTGGGGTGCTCTGTCCCCATTTGAGAGGGTGCAGCATTTGGTTTGCCTGTGCCCAGCTGCTGCTGGTCAGTGTGGAGGGGAGGCAGAGTTGTGGACTCATCCCCATGCCTCTTCTCTGGGGGGGGCTAAACTCAGGGCCGGCTCCAGGCACCAGCTTGGCAAGCAGGTGCTTGGGGCGGCCACTCTGGAGAGGGGCGGCAGG